CACCTCACACTCTCTCTGGACAGCCTTGAGCTTCTTGATGTTTATATGCAGGTCTGATTAATTCGGGGACCACTTTCCCTGTCTCTGGAGCATGCCAAGATGAGCACCCCATCCACAATCGGAGGTATTGGATACCAATTCCATTGAATGTTGAGACATCTGGAAGGATATGCCCAATATGATGTTCTCCGGAACTGCTGACCACATCAGGGACTGGAGGACCTATGGTGGAATGATAACCAACCTGTCCAGAAGGTCTTATGGGGAGTACACTGAGTCAGCCACAGCTGCAAGGGGTGCATATTGAGCCTGGTGAGGTACACCACACAATATGCAAACTACCATGTGACCCAGAATGCAACGGCAAATCCTTGCCATAATCAGTGGCACAGTGGAAACCTGTGCTATGAGGGTCGTAGGGCCTTGAATCTGACTTGAGGAAACGATGCTCAGGCTGCAGTCAGGTCCAACATTGTGCCAATGATCTCAATCCTCTGAAGTGGTACTAATGTTGATTTTTTGTTGTTTATTAAGAATCCCAGACATTGGCACATACCTTGTAGGAGAGCAACATCTTTCCAAACCTTGGCTTAGAAGCTGTCCTTGACAAGCCAGTAATCGAGATAGGGGTAGATCTGAACACCCTGCCGCCTCATGTAAGCTGCTACCACTACTAATTACTTTGTAAACACCCTCAGGTGTAAACACCCTCACCACAAATCACACTGCAGAATCCAACGCATCAGAAGCGGCCTGCAGTGCTGCCCTGACCACCAAGGCCCCCTCATCAGCGAGTGCCATGGAATCCACCCTTGCTCCCCAAGACCACTGCAGCATAGGTATGTGCATGCATTGTGTACAATTGTTAGTGTATTTTCCATTGGGATACCCTTCCGGGCATCTTGAGTGCCCTTATCACTTTGCCCCACTGCATACTCATGTAAGATAGTGGAGCTAACCCCACTCAGTTCCTTCTTACTGAATAGATTCCAAAAGAAAGGGGAAGAAGGGTGAAACATGGCACGCACATGTGCAACACATTTTAAATAATAATTATGGAAAACTAAGTAAACATTTTCTTCTAGTGGTTCCATATGTCCATTCCACTGTAGGTGACTCACAAGCAGATTAAAGTAAAGCCAGGCATGAAGTCTATTTGACTAGGGATTGTAGAACAACTTGTCAAAAACCAGCAGAGTACCAGGACCAACAAGAAATGGCATAACGAGCATGAAAAATGTGAACTGACGACTAGATTGCTGTTTTGAACATGTCTCAGATAGGTTCTTGTGCTAAGAAGATTGATGTGGCTGTTTGTGCTATAGTTAAGGAGAAGGCATGACATTAGCTAATTGGTAGTACAAGAAATTTAAGAAGAAATTTTCTGAGTAGAAATTTGTTTGCTCGTCCCCACCTGAAATTGCAACTAATAATTCCAATTATCTACTGAAAGGTGGAACATTGAAATGAATGTCATAACAATATGAACTACTGTCAGGCCTTGATATTTTAGGTGACTCACATAATCTAAAACATGTGTGAAGGATTGCACTGGAGACACACTTTGCTGAGACTAGACAAACACATTTCCATTTGGCCAATTATGGCATGTAAAATGCCTTTTGCAGTTCAAAAGTACCTGCTCTTTGCCCTAAGTGCTTGTGCCTTACCTTTGAGGGAAATCTATAACATTCAGTGTCAAAGGGCTCAAGAAAATGCCATTCAAAGGGATAGTTCAGTCATTTTATTAATCCTTTAAAAAAAGTATAAAAGGCTATTGATTTTATTTCATATGAAATGCTTGGAATATACCTAAGAAGCCCCTCCTGATAGCCATTCCAAAATCTTTAATACATTATCTATGTATATACAAAAATGTCCACATACTTTAAAAGAAGTTTCTGCACAATTGTTTTAAATATGAAAGAAATATAAAAGTTATTCATTTGCTTGCTAATGCAAAGCAATAAGCTAGCATAATACAAGCATTCCAATAAGGTACAATTCGCTATTATATTAAATATGTTTTTCAAGGTAACATATTGCTTCCTTTATAAAAACAACAGATCTTCTTTTCTACTTTTCATGACTTGAAAGCAGCTCTACAGTCAAGGATTCAAGATGCCATCCAAAATTTTCATAGATGATTCATAAAGGGTTCTGAAACCAGAGAAATCGGTAAACAGCATGCTAAAGAAATACCTTTGCCTATCTGCTTTCCCCCCAAAAAAGCTACTCCCTTATTTCTTTGAGAAGTTACACATCATTAACTTAAAAAATTAAGAAGTTGTTTTATTGTATTACATTTAAGACAAACAGTCTTGCTCAGAATTTCCATCTCTTTGGATGCTTATTGAATAAAGTATAGCTAGGGAGGGTCAATCCATTAATTTTAAAGTTGACAAAAAATGTTTTAAATTTTAAATATAAGCCTGATTTTTCCCTTTTTGACCAGCTTTGATCTAATGTTCTTTACTTTTAAAAAGGTATAACAACAATTAGTGTCCATTTAAATATTTTCAAAATACTGTATTGTTACTATATATCTTAATATTTGACCTTCTACATACTAAATCATGTTCATTTACTTCTTTGAATAATTTATTGCCCTTCTCTATTCTCTGACATCTTACTATCACATACGCAGCATTAATCATCTGAAGACGAGTCTAACCTTTTCATTTCCCCTTTCTCTTCTCCACTTCTCTCTCCCTTCCTCTTATGCTCTTTTCCCCACACATTTTCCCCATTCCCTGCCTATCCATATAATTTTTGCATTCTCCTCACCTCTGGTATTCATTTTCTATTCTAGTACTGATCTTCCTGCATCATTATCCTAGATACTAACAGTCATCCATCTGTCACATCAGCCTCATGTGTACTATCCTTTGCATCATTCCCAGCCCTTTTTGCAATGTAAGTTATTTTAAAGATTCTAAGGATGCCCTGTATTAGCAAGTTACTAAGTGCATGTCTAAACTACATCCCTCTTTTAAAAGAGGGATGTAAATTAGACAGATGGAAATTGCAAATGAAGCCAGGATTTGAATTTCCCGTGCTTCATTTGAATTATGGCAGCCGCACGTTCTTTCAAAAAAGGGAATTTCAAAAGTGAATCCGCTGTCTAGACGCGGTTCTTTAGGGGGAAAAACCCTGCTTTGAAAGATCCTGTACTTCTTTCAAAAAAGGGTTTTTTTTCCATAAAGAACCGTGTCTAGACAGAGGTGTCACTTTCGAAATCCCTATTTTCGAAAGAACACGCAGCTTCCATTATGCAAATGAAGTGTGGGAAATTCAAATCCCGGCTTCATTTGCAATTTCCATCTGTCTAATTTACATCCCTCTTTCGAAAGAGGAATGTAGTTCAGACGTAGCCTAACTTAAGAATTGTTCCAGGTACTCCAAAGGGCAAACATACAAACCTCCCCCAAAGAATGGCATTTCATATTTTGATTGGTTTTATTCATTACATTCCCTTCACTGAGAGACTCATCATACCCATAGCTAATGGACATCCAACCATAACAGAACTCAGAATGGCTGTGAGGCACCCAAAAGAGTAAAGGACAAGGCAAATTTAAAGTCGCTTGTACTAAATGCCCTGCACTTTTACTGCAAAAAATCTTATACAAATAGAGAGAAACTATTTGTAAATTATCTTTCATTAGCACTTCAATGATAGAGCAATAAATGGTTTGGAAGCCTATAAGACATCTATAAGATAAAGTGAGGGAAACATGATTTTTTATGCCAAAACATTTAAATAGTTTTAATTTTGGTGCCCATATACTGAAATATGAATAATAATAATAAGCAAATATGAATTTTACATATGATAAATTATGTCATTTAACATTTCATAGCTTATTTATGCAATGGGAAGATCCATAATATTTGTTTTAAAAACTGAAACTGCTAATTCAGTTGAGCAGAGAAGACTAGATTCTAGTAATCAGGAAAACCCATACTTCTGCTACAGTGCACTGATTCCTGATTTAATGTCAGCACATGAAGTACTCCAGTATAGAGGATCTCTACATAATTATTACTGGGGCATCACATAAAGGTATTTCCTGATACTCCATCTAAATTTAAAAGGCTGGAGCAGCATGCAAAATCCCTTGGAAATTTAGTCACGTTCCAGGCTACATACACTCAGGATAAACTAATACCCCAAGGGCTGACATTTTAAAACAACAGACAGATGTAAAGAATAAAAAATTAAGCTTTGAGAAAAGAGTCATGTGTTATAGTTGATGTTTGCATATATAAATTAATACATTATCTGACTGTATGAGCTGTGGACTTATTTGTAGGGATGTCAGCCTATAGTCAATTACTTGATCAACTGATAAGCATGGGCTTACTGTGGAGCTGCCTGCTCCCTCCCCACACTGCCTCCCACAGAAATAGCAGTGCAGGGGAATGAGGGGAGCCAGTTCCCCATGAGGATTAGCTAAATGTAAACATGTAACCACTAAAATTTCAAGTGGTTACATGTTTACACAAATACCTGAGAGTTAACTTCCCTACTTATTTGCAGACCGTTCTGACTACAAGTTTTCCTCTGGCCAAACAGAATGAGAAAGATGTAATAATTAAAAGGAAATTGCTGTTTACCAAAACAAAGCATGCTGCAATCCAAATATAATTGCATTTGAGTCATTACAATACACAATGAGACACCCAACAGAACACTGAATTACCATACTGGAGCAGACTAGTGGTCCATTATCATCCAGCATCCTCTTTCTGATAGCAGTCAGTATCAAAAGCTTTTAAAGATGGTCAATAGAAGTGGGCAATTATGGAATATAACTGGGCCGTTGGGAAATTTCTTCACAACCCTTTTACAGCTAGAGTGGATTATGTCGTGAAACATGAGTTTGTATATCCTTCCAAGTTCTTTTAAAAAAAATTCTATCTAATGACGCTGTGGCTGTTCTTATCTTTACAAATATTTAATCTTTTCTTAAATTCTGCTAAGCATTCAGTGATAGCATGTGGAACTCATTGTCACAGTATAATTGTGTTTTGTGAAAAAGTATTTATCACATTTAAATTCTCTACATTTCAATTTCATTAAATGTTTCAACTTTGTTAATAAAGTGTAAATGGGAGGGTCTCCATACCACAAATAATTTGGTATACCATACCATGCTCCTCACCTTCCCTCCTCCCCCGCCCTATCTGACTATCTAACCAGGCCAAATCTTTTAATTCTCTTCATATTAAAGCTTTTCCAGGCTTCTTATGGTTAAAAATAATTATCAGAATTGAAAACAGTACTTCAGGTGAGACCGTGCCATTTGTCTGTCATTACTTAAATTTTTATAGTACTTCCCATTCTATAATACATCTTAATGTTCTATTTATTTTTTACTGCAGCTGTTCATTGAACAGAGCTACCAGACATTCAGGCCACTTTCCTCCATGTTACAGATAGTTCACAATGCAGTAATATATGAGTTCACATTATTATTGCTTTGAATGTGCATTAACTTTACATGCATCCATGCTGAATATGATCAGTGATCGTGCTGCCTATTTATCTTTTTTAGTTTTAGTTTAATTCCTCTGTGTTTTCTGCACTTTTAATTAGAGTTTTGTAATTTGAAAGTTTTCACATCTCACTGCTCATTCCCTTTTCCAGATGATTACTGAATTTAACATTGATGCTAACATAGAACTTTATGAGACTACAGGGTTAACCTTTCAAGCATGCAGAAAACTGACCTTTTATAGACATATGGCAATTCTTCAAAAAGGACCATTTTTGGAATTTAATGTAACCACCCTGTACACATCTATCATTTGAAAGCTTATTTTATGTATATTTTGATGAGGTCGGATATGGTGATGTCAAATGGCGCCATAAGGCAGTAGGTGACATGGTACACGATGATACATAAAATGAGAAAGTAATTTTCTGCACAGTTCCAGAATCACTTCAATAGGACTATCATAACAGTAAAAATTGTAGACAATTTCAATATATTAATATGGTATTTATTAGTCGAAGTTTCCAAATGACAATGTGTTATTGTTTGTTCCCATTTTGTTGTAACAGCTGCACATCATATCTCATCTTAAAGTAAAATCATATAAGATTAGGGTTTGAAGAGACCTTAGAACAGTGGTCCCCAACGCGGTACACGCCCTCCGACAACCTGGGCCGGCCCCGCCCCCCACGCACGGCAGGTGCCGTCCCCAGGCGCGCAACACACACCAGCGCCGGGTACGCAGCGCTCAGGCAGCCCCAGCCCCGGGGCTTACATCATATCTCATCTTAAAGTAAAATCATATAAGATTAGGGTTTGAAGAGACCTTAGAACAGTGGTCCCCAACGCGGTACACGCCCTCCGACAACCTGGGCCGGCCCCGCCCCCCACGCACGGCAGGTGCCGTCCCCAGGCGCGCAACACACACCAGCGCCGGGTACGCAGCGCTCAGGCAGCCCCAGCCCCGGGGCTTATTCGGGTGCAAGGGCATCCCCGTCCCCTGGCGTGCCCCCGGACGCGCGGCCCAGCCCCCGGGCGCCCAGCGCATGAGTGGCCCCACCCCCGGGCGCCCGAGAGCCTCTAAAGGTTGGGGACCACCGCCTTAGAAGATCATCTAGTCCAACTTCCATCTCAAAGCAGGAACATAAGAACATATAAGAACATAAGAACGGCCGTACTGGGTCAGACCAAAGGTCCTTCTAGCGCAGTATCCTGTCTGCCGACAGTGGCCAGCACCAGGTGCTCCAGAGAGGGTGGACCGAAGACAATGATCAAGCGATTTGTCTCCTGCCATCCCTCTCCAGCCTCTGACAAACAGAGGCCAAGGACACCATTTTATCCTCTGGCTAATAGCCTTTTATGGACCTAACCTCCATGAAATTATCTAGCTTCTCTTTAAACTCTATTATAGTCCTAGGCTTCACAGCCTCCTCTGGCAAGGATTTCCACAGGTTGACTACACGCTGTGTGAAGAAGAACTTTCTTTCATTAGTTTTAAACCTGCTACCCATTAATTTCATTTGGTGTCCTCTAGTTCTTCTATTTAGAGAACTAATCAATAACTTTTCTTTATCGGCCCTCTCCACACCACTCATGATTTTATAGACCTCTATCATATCCCCCCTCAGTCTCCTCTTTTCTAAACTGAAAAGTCCTAGT